GGTACTTGCCTTTTTCATTTAAGCCGGATGTGTAGCATCGCACAATACTAGCTACCAAGGTGACCCAATTTATGAGACATATTCTTTAATAATCCTATCACCTTCTGCCTACAGCCATTACAACTTTTTGATTGAGTTGCTGAAACATAAGTTAAGGAATCCCTTGACTGCCCAATTTCTTGTCATAAGACTAGATTCTCTGTTTCCTTGATGAACTATAAGAGTTCTGATATATTGGTAGTATTTAACCAGCATCTGTATTATGAACCTGTGCATACAGACAGGCCTGGGGAACTGATCGCATACTACAAGATTGCACGTAAACTATTCCACTATGTGGTTTCTTGTTCCTAGTCATCTATTATATTGGATACCATTGTTCTTGCCAAGCATAATTTACATGCTTGCCTTTCAGGACATTATAATTGGGCACTGGATCAATTGTTCTACAAGCATAATTTCAGTCGAGTGATCATCCTTGAAGGTTCGTTTACACTTACTTTCATTGTATCATAATTGTTTCAGTTGCCTCTTTTTCTATTGATTTGACTTAAAGCCTTCAATATTCAGATGATATGGAAATTGCTCTTGATTTCTTTGACTATTTTGAGGCTGGAGCTAAACTCCTTGACCGTTACAAGTGAGATTTTAGACTTTAAGATCTTATTGACTTTCCGTCCATTTATTAATTTTGAATTTGATTAAGTTCCATCGCTTGTGTTAATTGTGACTTGGATAGATCCATTATGGCGATATCGTCATGGAATGATAACGGGCAGAGGCAGTTCGTTCATGATCCTTGTAAGTCAACTGGTCCCGCAGCAGTGATAAAAGCTGCTACATTAATTGTGCCTAGGTAGAGGCTAGCATATTTCTAGACCTAATGAAGGATTGCCATGTAGCAGTACTTGTTTCTGGACGTGATTTTATCATTCACAATTAATAAATATAAATAATCTTCAATATGTAGATATATTCTACGTAAATCAGCAATCGCGATATGGTCTTTGGTTGTACTAAAAGTTTAAAGGTTAAAAATTTGCAGTAAAAACTGAAAAGAACCCATTTAGGGCATGATTGGATATGAATCCAACCGGTTATGATCCAATTTGGTTGGTTAAAGTTGACTGAGTGGATGATCGCTTGTAATTAAATATATTTAAAATGTAATGAGTAAAGTTGATGTGACGTACAAGTAGAAAGAGAGGTTATCAGAACTGATAGGTAGTTAAAATTGTGTGAATAGATGAATAGTGAATTAAAGTTGATATGATGGGTGAGGATGATTGATTGGTATGATTTATTTATATTTATGAAAAGTAGGACAGTTGGGTTGAGTTGGATTTTAAATGTGGTGATTGGAAACAAAATAACTTGATAGGTCAAAACCAATTAAAACCGGTTATGATCCATATCTAATCAAACCCTCAGAGTTCCTTTCAGTATTCAAATCCTCGAGGTCAATAACACCACTAGGATAAACTTATTTTTTAATTTCAATTTGGTTTCATTTAAAGAGAGAAGTCGAGATGCAAAGTACTCTTTTGTCTACTTGCCTAGTTGTCTCTAGTCCAAATGCAAGAACAAATATTATTTTGTGTCTTTCACCAGATTGTTTTCAGCAACTGTATTATTTCTGATGTGTTGCCTTTTTCTAACTTCGCTTCCATCTTTCATCTTATGTGAATAAGTCCTGTCTGCTGAGTCTGCATGCAATCATCCATTCTGAAATTTTGTATTTTTTATTTTTTTTCCTGTGCTGTGATGCGCAATTATGCTATAATTATTACACTGAAATTGATAACGATACTAACTTTAACTTCAGATCTCTAATTTGGGAATTCATATTTATAACGGTGTGGTCAACGTAAATGCAAATAGTCCATACAGTGTGATTCATCTGATTCATAGACTATCTTGCAGATGTACTTTATCGTTCTGATTTTTTCCCTGGTCTTGGATGGATGCTCTCAAGATCTACATGGGATGAACTGTCGCCTAAATGGCCAAAGGCATATCCTTTAATAATCATATTGGATACACAATTTTAAGTTTATATCTGCACTTTTGTGATATATAATTGTTCTTGTATATAATACTTTGCTGCAATCTTGAGAGTTTTTTCTTAACCAAACAATTACTTATTGGGATGACTGGCTAAGACTGAAAGAGAATCGTAGAGGAAGACAGTTCATTCGGCCTGAAGTGTGCAGAACATATAATTTTGGGGAACATGTAAGACTGTCACCGCCCGATTGCTTCTGAATACCTGAATTATGGGTTTATTATTAGTATTTTTATTTTTATTTTTTTTTTGCAGGGTTCCAGTATGGGGCAATTCTTCAAACAATACCTTGAGCCTATCAGACTGAATGATGTTCAGGTGTGTAACAAATCCCAAGCCTTTTATCAGTTCGGCACTTTGATGAGGCCGGCCCGGCACCCTGCTGAGTCAGGTGCCGGGCTCGGGAAACATTCCCGTCAGCCCATACTGCGTACAATTCCTCGACTCAGTTCCGTTCTACCCGGTTCACAGGGCCGACCCGTATCGATCTGACTAGACCGATCCGGAT